TCACCGGCTCTGAGGCCAGGTCGCCCTCAGTGGCTTAGGAAGTGTCTGTGGATGTCAGGTGCTTAGGAAGCACCTGAACTGCTTACAAGGCCCTCGACTCTCTGGCCAGGAGTGGGTGGCTCCTAGACCTCAGGTGGATAGACGCCTTCCTCTGTGCCAGGCCCTGGTGTTCATAACGGAGCACTCCGGAGAACTCTGGGGAATGGGGCCCGGGGTGCCCAGAGTCTGCTTCCAGTTTTTACTTGGACAGGTCAACGCCCCCTTGCCCAGACTTCACCAGGTCCTTCTGACTCCCTGCTTCCACCACTTCTGCCTGCCTGGGTGCACTGCCCCCGGACACACCTGCCCAGGAACACATCTGCCCACCAAGACACACCTGTCCAAGAACACACCTGCCCACCAGGATACACCTGCCCACCCAGACACACCTGCCCACCAGGACACACCTGCCCAAGAACACATCTGCCCACCAGGATACACCTGCCCACCGGGACACACCTGCCCACCAGGACACACCTGCCCAAGAACACATCTGCCCACCAGGACACACCTGCCCACCGGGACACACCTGCCCAAGAACACATCTGCCCACCAGGACACACCTGCCCACCAGGACACACCTGCCCAAGAACATACCTGCCCACCGGGACACACTTGCCCAAGAACACACCTGCCCATCTGGACACAGCCTTTCTGCTTTCAGGATCTCAGTGTAGGGGTGTTCTCAGCCCCTGCCCACTGCCTTTCCCCCACCCTCCCTGGGCTGGGGCTGGGCTTCCCAGGAAGCTCGCGCAAGGTGCTGCTGGCTTCGATGGCCTGGGATTCGGGACCCAAAGTCGGCACCGAACAGAGAAGGTGGTGCGTGGGAGGCTGGACTCGTGGTCCAGCCATGCTAGGGGACACCCTCTCTCGGCAGTAGACAGGGGGTCAGGTCTTCTCACAAACGATGCTTGCAGAGGTGCAGGGTGATGCCAGATGAGAAAAACAAGCCTGAGAAGCTGCCGCTCTGCCGTCAGAAGCGACATGGAGAGGCAGCGGCAGCGCCAGGTTGAAGCCCGGTCAGCGCGCGTGGCTCTGAGGGCGTGGTGAGAACAGTGGTGCTCGCGCGGGTGTCAAACTGAAACTTTCCAGTCTTAAGGAAACTAAATGCTTTTCTTACTTTCAGGATGCTGTGCAAGCTGACGTGAGCATGCACACACACACACACACACACACACACACACACACACACACATGCACGCACACCCAGCAACAGCTTCACCTTCAAACACGGTTCTCTGCAGCCCAGCGCCCGGCTCTGCCTAGTGGAGGGCTCTGCGCTCACACGTGGCTCTGCCGGGGCTGCAACACTGGAGCCTCATTCTGTTGCCTGCCCAGGGCAGCAGTCCGCTCGGTGAGGAGGGAAAGGCCGTCCCCTGCCCTCTGCCGGGATGCCAGGGGCTCTGGGCCTGGGAGGGCTGGTTGGGAGGGGGCCGAGCTGCAGGTGCTGACTGCCCTCCTGCCCGAGCCCACACGGCCAGGATTCTGCTGGGAAATGCAGTGTGCACACTCTAGCTCACAGGGCACCGCTGACCCTTGGTTTCTTTCTGTCCGGGCAGATCTCTGAAGACCTGGGCAGCGAGAAGTTCTGCGTGGATGCTGCCCAGGCAGGGGCCGGCAGCTGGCTCAAGTACATCCGAGTGGCATGTTCCTGTGACGACCAAAACCTCACCATGTGTCAGATCAATGAGCAGGTAGGTCCGGGCCTGCACACGGGGGCTCCCTGCCTCGGAGTTGTCCTTGCGGACACGGCATCAAATCGGTGGAGCTGTCGAGGTGAGGGGTGGCTGAGCCGCTGCCGGGGACGCTGGCCGAGCCTCCCCCTGCATGGGGTAGGCGGCCGTTTGGTGCTTGGCCAGTGCTGGGGAGCTGCCTATCCCGCGAATGCTCCGCCGCTGCCTTTGGTCAGCAGCCCCTGCAGAGGCTGATGTGGTGTGAGAGTCGAACAACAATGGTTTGGGTGAAGCAGGGCAGACAGCATGGGCAGGATCCCAGCCCACGGGGGTCCACGTCCCCCGCAAATGCCACTGCCAATCAGACACGGGAGCAGCAGAGCGCAGAAACTGCCAAGGCGAGAATCACGTCTAAACGGCGCTGCTGAACCGAGTTTCCCGGGAGGGTCAGCGCTGGCCGACCGGAAGCTGCTCAGGTGTGTCCGTGGCCAGGCCGGGCTGAGGCGAGGCCCCCACCGCCCGGAGCCCCCGGGAGTTGCTGACACGGCCTGACCAGCGGTGAAGGGCACCGGCCCTTTTTGGCACAAAGTCCAAATGGATAATATTCCCGAGCTGTGTGGTCCTGGCTTGGCCCTGGCCACCCCCGGGGCCGAGGACCCCCTTAAGCTCACTGGATTGGACCCTCGTCGAGCTCTGTGGCTTGTCCCTGTCACCCACGGACAGACGGCCAGACCCGCAGGCAGATCGGGAGGGAGCTGCGGCGTTTCTTCTGACCCCAGAAGGCAACGTGTCCCAGGTGCGGGTCGCTGCTTCGTTGATTTCTTGCGTTACAAGTTTGCAAGTGGCCCCTGGAAACTGTGCTCTGGAGCCGCCCCAGTGGCAGTTGTCATCCTGGGTTCCCTGGGGTGCCTACAGCCCCCAGCCCCTCCGTCGGAGTGGTTGCTTTTGCCTGTGTTATCTAGGGGCTACACGTGAGATTTCACCTGCGAAGAAAGAGATTCCATTGCTTTGAAAATGTGTGCGAAGACCACATGACAAAGGGCACATTCTGGCATAGCCGGTGCAAACTGTTACAAGTGGTTCCAGGCTCTTGACTTGAGAGAAACAATTTCGCATAAGAAATTCAGAGAGCGAGCACCAGGGAGGCCCGAGCCCGGGAAGCATCCACTCGTCTGCTCGGTCTCCGGCCTGGGGCCGGGTCCGGACCAAGCAGTCGCTCCGCTGGACGCGAGCTGGTTCCAGATGGGGGCACGCATCGGCCTCTGCTGCAGGGACTTGGATGGCTTTCAGTTAAACAAAACATTTTGAAAATAACTTTTTCTGATTGCGAAAGGAAAAGAAAGAAAGCAAAAGAATAATCTTAAACATTAGAACAAAACAAAAAAAAACACACAAAATCTTTCCTTTCTTGCAGATGAAAGTGAAATCTGAGTGGAGGAAAATTAGAGCTAAGGCGCGTGGAAGGCGTCCTTCCCGCCCGTCCCGGCGCTCCGGGCTGCAGCGAGCCTGTGCCCTCCGTCTGTGGGGGCCGGCCAGGGCCGTGCTTTTGTGAGGTGCTGCCTAGAGTAATGAGAAATCCAGTGTTTGAATTTAAGAAATAAATGTTTATTAGAACATTTGAACTAAACTTACGCAGGGAAGTAGGTTTCTTTAATGTGTCTAGCTTTAAAAAAAAAAAAAAAAAACAGATGTGTCATTTTCTCAAAGAGATGCCTGTCTTTAAAAAATCTGTATTAGTAATATGTCAGGGAAGCTTTTCTGTTAGCTGCACATGAGGTCCAAATGGATCCGACGGCCTTGCAGCCGGCTGCGTCTCCACCGTCAGGACTGGGGCAGGGTGCTTTCTGCCAGGGCGGAACAGTGATCCATAAAATGTATGATTCCGCCAAATTTAACGCCGCCGCCACTCATCCCGCAGCTCCGTCCGGAGTGCAGAGCGCGCTCGCTCGGTTGTTACCTAAACCCGGGGCCCCTCACCCGCCAGATGCTTCTCTCCAGCGCTGCCTCCCGGGATTGACGCCCCTGCTTTGGGCCTGTGGGCTGAATTAAAGCCACAACGCAGAGGGGATTTAGAAAGCACATTTGAGCAAATGCAACCCCAAAACGGCCCAAAGCAGAGAGAAATTCCTCCACATGGTGGTGCATTTCCAACCCCCTCAGCCCCTGTGTTGAGACCCTTCCCCTCTGAGGGAGAGGAGACTTCTGCCCCCGGGAACTCCCTCCTACCATAGCGGGTGACAACGGGCGTCACAGGGCAACCAACATTCCCACCAATGCCCCCCAAGGGTGCACCTCTGAACTTGGTAATCCACGTGGCAGTGGCCCCCAAAATGCCCAGGAAAGCAGGAACCCCCCAGAGGCCGGAGGAGACGGCCCCGCGGGCACAGGGAGGACAGTGGCAGAGAAGTCGTCATGCACTTAGCGTCTTGTCCTGAAATCTCAACTTAGGATTGCAGTTATCAAAGGAAAATGAGAAATTTGTGGGATGTATTTTCCTCTGAATAGTAAGATTTAAATTCTAGTAATAATAATAGGAAAAAACTGCTTCCAGAAACTCATAGACTCTCAATAAATACTCGTTGGTTAAATGCAATGACTTTTAGAAATACTTCTCTGAAGGGCATATAATAGCCTTCAAACTACTTTTTAAATGCTGTCTCGGTGGGATGGCCACGCAGCCTCAGTCCCAGGTCTCGGCCATGGAGACGTGGGTTCTTGCAAAGCAACCTCTTTTGACTCTTTGTGGAGCTTAAATAAAAATGTCCCTGAAATATTAACAATAAAACAGAGATTTTTGAAGACAGGCCTCTCTTTGAGAAGGAAAATGCTACAGGATGGTAACGGGGTTTCTCAGGTTCCCATCGTGCCCAGGGTTCTGCCAGGAGTTCCTGGTACTGACGAACACACACACACACTCACACACACACACACACACACACACGCACTCACACACACACACACACGCACACACACATGCACGCACTTACACACACACGCGCGTGAACAGCCTCTCCCTTTCTGTCCCCCGAGTGCATGCGCCCTCCCCGCCCCGCCCAGTGCAGCACACACATGGAAGGGGAGGAAACCGCTCTGAACATCCACAGAACACCGTGGGGTTTGCCAAACGGAGTTCCGCCGGGAGTGCACTGAGGTCAGAAAACCATGAGCATCGTTTGAAGTTCAAGACACACGAGCTTCGCCCGACTTTCAGAAGAGAGAAGAGACTGGGGCAGAAGAGGGTCTCCGCATCCTAAAGAGGAAGTTCTGGAAGCCTCAGCCTCATGGAGGAGATGAGCCCTCCTGACAGGTGGAAGAGAGAGGCGGCTCTGAGCTGCATGCTCAGGCCCGCGTGCGGAGGGGGACTCGGGCTGGCCGCCAGGACTTGTGCGACTCAGGAGCCTCCTGGATGGTCCCGTGTCCCTGGAAGAGACCTACACGCCGGCACGGTGGAGGTCGGGGAGCTGCGTCTCCCAAGGCCCCTCCCAGGCCCCTGCTGGCCTTTGCTGCCTGCGGGGCGTCATGCATGCCGACAGGCTCTGGGAGCAGGGGCCACCCCCACGTCCTCAGGGTTCCGTGCAGCTAAAGGCTAACTAGTTCTCCCTTGGGGCGCTCTGGGGAGCCCCCATCCAGCCTCACCTGATGTGGCTGAGACACCTGCCTTGGTATAGAAGGTCGGCTTATGTGCTCCTGTGCAGCAACCTGGGGTGGGCTGGGGGGACAGCAACATGAGAAACAGTAAGCCCCAGGGCCTGGAAAGGCTTGGCAACTGTCCCGCATCTCCCCAAGGACTCCTTCCGGCGAGCCAGCACCTCCCGGTGCCTTGGCCCGGGGATGCAGGTGGCTGGGGAGGCCCCGGTGCCCCTCCCTTCCAGGCCGGGCTGGCCCAGGCTCCCGCCCCTCTCCAGCACAGGTCTGCAGGGGGCTGAGCCATCTTCTCGTAGATTCCTGCATCCCCATGGCCATGGGGCTGCAGAGACGTGCTCACCGGCCACCTCCACGTCCTCATCTAGGTGACAAGACTCCCCCTCCTGGTGCCTGTGGCTCTGGGGGGCCCCAGCCCCAGGGGGTTTCATGAGAAGTGACCGGTCCCATCACTCTGGCCCTTGGTCCTCAGAAGCTGGCCTCTGTCCCCTTCCTTGCTGCTCTGGGTCAGGCAGCCAAGCAGCAGCTGAGGCCACACGGGGCCATGTGTTTCCTCCTCAGCCCAGCCGCATGGCCTGAAAGGTGACTTGTGGTTTTTCTGTATGCACGGAGGCCACGGGCCATAGCCAAGGGCATGCCGGGCTTGGGGGCGGCCAGGCTGACCGGAACCAAACCTCCAAGCAGTCGCTGGAGAGATCAAGGCCACACCTTTCTCCCAGCATGTCAGAGGTGGTCCGATCGCAGCCCTAGAGCGTCGTTTGACAGCCGAGCGTGTCCAGGTCACCACAGGGCGCCTTCGTTTGCTTTCTCATCTTAGCACCAACCAGAGGGCAGAGGACGCGCCCACAGGAGTCTCGGTGCACTTTGGGCGCACAGCCCCTGCCCGCTCCCTCCCGCCACCTGCAACTCCTACTTCCCTTTCGGGAAAATGCAAGACGTTCAGATCACCCCTGGCTGGTTCTTTCTCTTGCAGTTATGAGCAAATGCGTTGGTTCAAAATGTTTCAGGACACACAGACAGGGTCTGTTCCTGGATTTGTTTTAATGTTGAGAAAGAAAACAAGAACTTGGAAGTGAAGTGCCCACAGGAGGAAGCAGGAGCGGGGAGAGGCCGAGTCACGCGCAGCTTCCTTTCTGTTTCTCACCTCGCCTCGACAGGGCAAGCATGTTGGTGGCGGGATGTCAACCGGCCAGCGGGCGGAGGCTGGTGGGAGGTGGGGCTCAGGTCACAGGCGTACTGGGGAGCACGACTCGGGGCCTCGGACCCCCAACACACCTTGGAAAGGCTCTTGGACTACCAGCAGCGCCCCTAGTCGAGAAAAGCAGCCCACTCTGTCAGCCTGTACGGCACCCAGGGATGGCCGGGTGTCAGGGAAGCCC